AAAAAAGAGCACTGGAGGCCCCCCGCCCCCGCCCTGCCCAAGCCCCGCCCCTGCCCCTTCCACTCCCTCCCACTTCCCGCCCCCCTCAGAACCCGCAACCCTCCCCCCGCTCCTTGTCCCCTGACTGCCCCCTCCAGAACCTCCCTGCCCCTTCTCTGGCCCCCTTACCCTGCCGCTCGTCCCGGCACGCTGGGCAGCAGGGGAGGAGGAGCGGGGGAGGAGCTCCAGACTGCTGGAGGCGATCTGCGAATGCAGGGAGGGAGGGAGGGAGTGATCTCCGCTTCAGGGGAAGCGGGGGCGGGGCTCTCTCTGGCTGTCGGAGCCCCATGTAAGTGGCACCATCCGGCCGGCTGCCCTGTCAGCTCTGCGCACTCTGCATTGGGGGGGAAGTCCGGACATTTACAAATTCCCCCCGGACGCTATTTTTAGCTCAAAAAGCCGGACATGTCCGGGGGAATCCGGACGAATGGTAACCCTAAAATCCTGTATATGATGGAAACCACTTCAAGCCAGGAGGTGCAGCAGCACCCCCAGTATGCCTAGTTCCAGCACCTATGGAGATGGAGAGAAATGCTTAATACCATTTGAAAGTTGAGCTTTCAAGCCATCAGATAGCATAAAGCAAGGGTTTTTAGCTCTCAGGTCTTGAGAGGCCCACTGCTAAAATCGTATTGGAATTCAAGCATGTGTGGGGAAGGAAACAAGATGATAATCAAAATGATGCATTTTTAAAAGGGTACCATCAAGTTGACATTTGTTCAATTAAAAAAAATTAAAAGTAGTTTCAGATCACAATCACGTTTTGTTTTCTTTATTTTTGCTCTTGCTGTGTGAAAGAAAGACAAAAAGGGAAAATTGACTGCTGGAGAATTAGTAAAATAACTATATATAAAGTGCTATCAAATGAATGAAGTAAATGCAAAATTAAAAAAAAATGTCTGTATGTTTCTGTAATTTTAGGTGTTTCTTGTAAAAACAGCTGATAAGAGATTTTCAGATGGAGTTAGTATTAAAGTTGATTAATAACTGATGTTGGGTGCATCACTATGACTGTAAATTGAAGTTTAGATTCCCAGATTCTGAATGGCATAATATGCCCATTTCCAGAGTTGGTGGTGCTTAAGATATTGGGAGTGAGACCCTGGTCCCACTGAACTCAATGGAAGCTTTGCTATTGAATTCAGTGGATCTAGAATTTCACCCTGGATCTTAACTTTATTTTATATTAACCATAACCCTTTTAACAAATTACAATCCTGGCAGTTAAATGGAGTCACTCTTGCTAAATAATGACTGTTGCAGACATTACTTAAACAAATAGCATATGAGTTGGAATCACAAATATTTCAGATCAAATAGTTTCAAAACTTGTAAAACTTGACAGCAAAAGGCGTGACCTTACTCAGTGTGAAAGCATGTAGTCAAAAACACTGCTATTCTGTATACTATTCCCAAAACTTGCTGGGCTTGAAAGTGTAGCTTCCAATCACTGAGAAACGCTGGAGAAAGGTTGTGGAGAGACTTCTTGCAGATCAGTAAGCCACTTGGAATCACCCGAGGCAATTATTGTTTTGCAGTTGTAGCAAGTAGGTGCAATTGAGCATATGTTCAGATGCATTCTATCAGCCTGAAGGGGCTAG